CTAGCGCGTTGTCGAGTGTTGTCTAGATCATCCATTAAGCTTTCTAGATGATCGTCATAGGTTCTTTCAGCTGATTCACACGCGAAACTTGATGGTATACGTGCTGTTCTACCGTATATTAACTCATGCGGAGTGTATCCTGTTCCTTCGTGATAACTAGTGTTATACGAAAACATTGCCATCTCTAACCACTGGTCCCAGTCGTCTTTGCCTGTTGTAATGTTGTATGTTTCAGATAATCGGCTAGGACTTGGTGTGAGCGTTCGAGTGATCCATTGGATTGTGGTCGGAAGGCAGTGGTTCGCAGTTGTTTGATTTGAAATCGTTTAGCAAATTCTGTCATAAAGGAACTAATGAAACTGCGACCCTGATCCGTTAAAATTGTTTGAGGGGTACCGAATTGGCAAATAAAGTTTTTAGTAAATGCCTCAGCTATTGTACTAGAATCCATTTCACCTATCGGCACAGCGATTGAATATTTTGAGAGATCATCTTGAATAGTTAGGATATAGCGATTTCCGGAAGCAGTGTTCATGGGATATCGAATATCAACTCCGAAAAATATAATTATTGCCGAAACTAAGCTTCAATCGATTGAAGAGCGCACAAAATTTCTATGTAAATGTTATTTAGTAAAAATTCTCTCGAACAAAGATTTAGCTATCTATAACACTGTTTGCCAAACTTACACTTTTTCAAATCGCAATAAGAAGTTGAGAAAATTGAGGATGTTACACTTATGTATAAATGAAATTTTTCAACTGGAATTTTTCTCTGAACGCAACTTTAATATTTACATGTTCGATTATCAAACGATTATTGCAAGCGTTGATGTAAACGTTGAATTTGGCTTAAACCTAAAAAATGATCCGAATCCCAACGTTAAAATACTTGAATTATTATGTAACACCAACGCTCAAGCTCTGTATACTGATGGAAGCAAAATTGCAAACTCTCTTGTTGGTTCTGCATGTATATTTCCTCAAGCCAACTTACAGATCGGTAAAACTTTAAACGCTAACGCTTCAGTATACACCGCAGAATGCGTTGCCCTACTAGATGCCATCAAGTATGTAAAAGACAGTGAATATGAAAACTTCATTATAATGTCAGATTCTCTTAGCGCTTTACAAAACTTGATTAATTCACAATTTTGTATCAGGAAAAATTATTACATTCTTAAAACTAAAGAAATCTATAATAACATTTCATTAACTTCTCCAAACAAATCTGTTAAATTCTATTGGGTTCCGTCCCATTTTGGAATCGAAGGTAACGAGGCTGCCGACGTTCTTGCAAAAAGTTTTACCAACAAAATTAATGTCGATGAATGCAACATCCCGTATACTGATTTCTTTGAAGTATTTAAAAAAGAATCTGTTCTAAATACTCTTTCTAAAGCTGTGGAGGAAAGTAACACTAAAGGAAACATTTATTTTGATTATTACTATTTCACTTCAACTAAACCTTGGTTTGCCAATAAAACTTATTCACGAAATTATATCACTTCCATAAATAGGTGTCGATCCAACCACTACAGTCTAGCAGCCTCGTTAGCTAGAATTCAGATATTAGATAGCCCTATATGTGAATGTAAAGAAGGTATTGAAGATCTAAACCATATTATTTGGCAATGCTCATTATTCGATAATGAAAGAAATTTGCTTCTCAAAAAATTGTTCAAATTAAAACTTCAACTGCCCTTAAGAATCGAAAACATCATCGATAAACCTAACTCCTTCGCTTGTAAATTCGTTGCGAAATTTTTGTTAGCTTGTAAAAAATCTGTATAGTCTGCTTATTTATTTTTGTTTATATAATCTCTACTATTTTGTATTTACTTTTATTTCAATAAAGTAAGCAAAATAAGTCTCTAATGAGACTTAAACGCTATAAATAAAAAAAAAAAAAAATTCCTTTGAGATAGTATGCTTTTGGATCTATTACTGGTGTTTCAGGATTAATGCAACTTTTCTTAATTATATTAAGTTCGGCTCCTGAGTCTATCATCATAACCGGATTACTATATACTTCGGGAGAGTATAGCTTTATTGTTGGGACTCGGGCTGGGTTACCGAGGTGGATGTTTGCAATTCTTCCTTTGATTTTGCTGTCACTGGGCGTATTCCATGTATCTTCTGACTTTCGCCCGATTGTCGAAGATTCGACCCGTTTCCCGAATTGTTCCCAAAGCCCGCATTTTCTCTCTTAAGCGAATTATTATAGGCTCTTTTACGACATTCATCGATTGTATGACCAATATTCTTGCAATAACGACAAACTATCGGTCCGGAATTGGAATTTGAAACGGATGAATTCCTGGAATTAGGATTTTGTCTATTCTGATCGGCTAATAAACGTTTTCGTTTAAAACAATTCTCAATTGCATGTCCGCTTCGCTTACAAAATGAACATTCTATGCCACTTGTTTGGACTGAATTTATGTTAGAATTTTTCGCCTTGATTGGTTTATTACTTGTTGCCGAATTCTGAATCCCATCCTGCAAGGATGTGTAGAATTGATTTTCCTGATCTGCAATTACTGCGGCTTCTAAAGCGTCCGAAAGGTTGCTTAGTAATTTAACTGAGTCCATTCTAGAAACTATTTCCGGTTTCAGTCCTCGAATAAATGACAATACCCAATCTCTATCCAAGTCTCTCAGAAGTTTGACCTCGTCAACTACGCCTCCTTCTGTCTTAGTCCTTTTACGAAGGGCTTCTGCTAGATTTTCTAGGCAAGTACGAAATCGACAGATGTATGATACCAGAGGTTCATCCCTTTTTTGGTGCATAGTTCCCATTTCACCTTGGAATTTGCCCACTGAAGCTAAACCCGAATAGAATTTCTCTAATTCTTTGATAAATCCATCAAAATCTTTGATTCCTTCATTTATAATAAGTGTTTTAGCCTCGTCTTTGAGTTTGTTATGTAATAATCTAACAAAAGGTGGAATGGCAGTTGG